TAAAACGGGCATCTGTGCGGATGCCCCAATGTGCCGCCTGGGTGGCTCTGTGCTTAATGAAACGAACATACCATGCACGCTCAGCACACTGGTCTAAAATGTCAGCACGGCTCGCCGTTCTTAAAAGCGGCACGTGGTGCCTGGCCCCCTCGAGCAGAGCAGCCTCTAGTATGTGGCGATGGCTGTGTTACCTCAGCACCTCTTAATTTTTCCTCTTTTTCTCCATTTCCCCCTCATTTTAGTGGGACGGCAAGTGGAAGGTTCCTGGTTTAAGCAGCAGAACGTTGTATTTCATTAACTGCATTACACACTTGGTTTAATTTCCAATTAGCCTGGGATGCTAGCAAAATAATCCGATTGCTTTGACCGTTTGGTGTTCTGGATCTGCCTAGCTCCCCCCCTGCGCCCCCAGCTTTTCCGTGTGGGTTCCGTGTGGGTAGACAGACACTCAGGTTTTCACCCACCCCCTTTCCTCCTTGTTAATGTATTTTATGCCGTTTGCTCTGAGCAAAAAAGGTTTGAGCTGCCAGAAGGAATAACTGACAAATCAGCGTTCCTACCTCTGCAGCTTTCCATGAGGTCAGATCTGCTCTCTGGCTGCGGAGGGTCTGTCTGTAGGTGGGTTTAAAAATGAAAAATGTTGGGGGGTTGTTTGTTTGTTTTGTTAAATTTGTAACATAGTTATAACTTTTTTGTTTTTTTTAAGAGCTTGTGAGGTTTAATTACCCAGGTCCCAGTGACACTTCCGAGAATCTGAATTTTTGGGGAAGCTCCAGCCAAGAAGCAGGTTTATTGTCGTTCGACTCAACTGGGCTCTAAAGCAATGTTGCTGTGACTGCATTTGAATAATGTTGAAAGGTACCTAGGGTGAATTGATTTAAATTAGCAAGCCAGGGAACTCTGATGATGATGATGATGATTTTAATCCTCAATCTGTTCTGCGTTTGTACCTTCTAGTTATGTTTTTTAGGCTGATTCTCATTGGTTGGTAGCTATTGACTTGCAATTAAGAGTATTGTCTTTAAGCTACATGAGGCGTTTCACCATGTACAACTGTACATACACATTTTCATTTAAGTGATTATATAATACACAGTGTATTCGTTCAGTTACTTTTTTTTTTTTTACATTTTCTCAAGAAAATGGTGATTTACACAGTTTACTCCATTAATCTTTGTCTCAGGTTTGTGTCATGAAGCATTTGAATATAAATGTGGAATTAATTTGCAAGGTGAAGATTTTAAAGGCTGATGCTGTAGTGGGTTGACCTGTTTTTCATTATTTCTGAGAACTTGCTGGAAGTTAGTTCCTTGTTCTTTTTTGTCTCCTCTTCCAATCTGTGAATTAAAAGTCATCCAGCTCTCAGTTGGTTTCTCATCAAACTGATGTTGTTAAATATTTGGAAGAGCAGAGAATACTTTCACTGTGCAAAAGAAGCTCCTACATGTGGCTTTTTTTTTCTCAGCCGAGGTATGGCCTTGGCTGTGAAACTTCTTTAGTTCCCTAGTCTGGCTTTTTAATTTTATCCTCTACCAGATGCTTTAGTTTTACTTTTAACATGTCCCCTGACAAATGCATCATCGTTGCTGCACGCTGTCAAGGTAAAGAGAAACTGCTTTGTAACTTGTTTTATCATTTTGTGCCTTTTACTTGCTGTTTAATGCAGTTAGACTTCTTTAAGGAAGAAATATCAGCTGAGTTGAAGACATAAGATTTAGCCTTGAAGTCACGGATTTTCTTTGTCCAAGTCTTGGTGAAGCCAATGGATGTTGGTAAACATGTTGCTGCTTCTTATGGCATTATTTCTTTCTAAATATTGCTAATGGCATATACGGGACTGCCAAAGTATACCGATTGGTTTACGATGTGATATAATGCTTGAGTTGGGTTCTTGGGTTCTTAATTGTGTTCTGAACGGACCTTTTTAAACCTGGCTGATAACCCTTAGCATCCCAATACGTGGCCAGCCCTTCAGTCTTTGTTTGCGTATCGCCTGAGCTGTCACTTAGTGAGAGCTGTCGGCAAAACAAGAGTATTTGTGCGCTGGAGTGAAACCGTGCAGTGGCTGCTTCATGTTACTCTGTGTTTCTGTCCTGTAATGAAGCCAGTGGCAGTGCCAATGAAGAGAGGTGAGCGTGCATACTTGAACCAGTGTTTATGTTGGACTGGTTCCCGAAATCTGTTTTCATTTCAACTGTGCTGCTGCGGCTGTGTAAAAAGCCTTGAAGATGCTAATTATTTTTGTTGGCATACCATAATATATCAATATGTTCAGTGTGTATCGCCAGCAAGTACTTTTTTTTTAATTTTTAAATTGATGTTGCTTAAACTTTGTTGAAGATATGTCTCCATCCCCTTTTGCCTCATTTATCATCTTGTCTCCAAGTTGATAGCAGTACCGTTCCTCTAAGATAGGAAGTGAGGACCAGCCGTAGTTGAGGACTTTGAGTCTACATTTCCCAGCCAGTCTGGCGGAAGTGAGCTGCCACCTCCTGTATGAGAGCCCCTTCCAGCCCTTTTTGCTGTAATGCCCGAGGAGACCACAGCCCATGCGCTGAGAAATCCAACTGCATCTTGCCATCTCATGCTCTTTTCTTACGTATATTTTTAATGGATGTTTAACATACGCTTGATCTAGTGGGTTGTGCTTTGGTGTCCCCTCCTCAGCTTTGATTTGGATGCTTGTGCCTGTGTTGCCTTGCTGGTTCCTGAAAAGAGCCTGCAAAACTAAGACCTCACTCACAGTCAGGTTTCTGGGTTGAAGCTGCTGTGTATTGCCTGACCCACAGTAACAGCACATCTGTGCATCCTTTACTTGTGGCAAATGCAAAGTAATGGAAAGTAATGGATTTGGCTCAAACGGCAAGGCAAGACTTAAGCGCAGCTGCTTTGACTTGTACTTGCCCCAGGGCTTGGAGTACCCACATGGCCTAATTACTGCAAATAAGGTAGTGCCTGGCAGCTTGAGTTCATTTGCCAAAGCTCCTCCCTATTTTTTCTTAGACAAGTTATCAGGTCATTCTCTGTGGTGCTTTGACTCTGTTGCCTTTTTTTTTTTTTTTTTAATTGTTTCAAATTTTTTTCCCCCAAGACCTCTTTTCAATAAGTGCTTTCTCATAATGACCTCAAACTACTAAGATGCTTTTATAGCTTGTCTTCACTTCCAAATTTCTGAAGTTTAATGAAATTAAAATGGTCTTTTCTTCAATTTTATGCTGAGCGTCACGTTAACCCTTCTGGAATTAGGCAAATTAAGTAATGGGAAGAATAAGCAGCAAATCATAATAAGTTACTCATTAAAACAGTACAGGAAGACAGTAGACCTGATTGCCAATGATTTCAGTGACAGAAGGCTCATTCAACTAATGAAATTCATAAAATCTTGGATCAAAATCCTATCTCTGACCTCTAGGTGTGAAATGCAAAACAATCAACATTGCTCTGCTTGAGCAGTGACTTCAGAATATATTGGCTTAATGACAAGCAATGATGGCAACAATGCAGAAAATTTCTTGGTCGCACTGTTCTTGTTTACAGTGTACTGCATTGAAAACCTCTTTAGTCATCCAAAGAATCAGAAGATTTTAGATAAGGTGTTTCTTTACGTTAATCTCCCAGAAAATAATACCAGAAATCTTCATTTTAGCAGGTTTGTTCTGGCAGTTGGGCTGCACATAATGATAGACCTTGTAAAATATATCCTGAAAATGACTTTTAATAGGGTATCTCAGTTTTGTATGTCAAACTTAGGCTTGAAGCCATGTTTTACTTCATGTGTGTATAAATCAATAAAAGGTTTTTGCCTCTATACTCTACAAATCTTCTATTTTTGTCTATATATTCTGCAACTCCTCTATTTTAAAAATCTTTACATGACATCTGTTAAAATAACTGTTGAATTTGAGCATGGAAGTAGGAATTAGCAATTTGTGTTGCTCTCCCACTTCTCAGTCTTGTCGAGCTGGACTCTTGACCTCCTCTCCATGTCTTCCTGTCATCCATACTTAGAAAAGGGAAGACCTTATATAGTCTTAAATACAGCAAGAATATTTTTGGTGATGAGTTGTGTTGCAGTGTTTGCTTTAACAGGACTCTCCAAAGTACCTAGCAGACAAATGGATACTGTGGAGACAATCTGGAATTGAGACATGTCTTGTTAAGAATTTAGCAGGAGAAGCTGTTTTAGGAAGCTATGTTTACTTTCAAACTTGGTGACGTAGCAGAATCGCAACAGCACTAAACATCCTTTGGTACAAAGGAGGCGATGCTTCTTGTGTCTTGGGCTGTGTTGAGCCATCTGGCATGGGGCTGCCAAGGGGAAAATGGGCAAGAGGTATCCGTCCCTGAACGAGTCGGGTAACTGATAACTTTGAGACCTTGACTATATCGGTTGGTTGATCGTCTCATGGAAGTTGGGGGAGACGAGGCTTACTTGAAGCTAGCCAAGGTGGAAGTCTGGAGCCTGTAGGAAGGTGAGATATTCTGCTTGTTCCGTGGGAACACACTCTGATGCCATCTTCAGGTTTCTCAGGGGCAATGGCTCTGGCAATTACTGCCTCTTGTAAGGTCCTGGGCCCAGAACCCAGTGCTGTCCAGAGGAGCCTTTTGTTTATATTTGACAAAAAAAACTTTTCAGGTTGGGATTTCTCTAGAGGAATGCTCTTCACACCCGTGCTGGCTTTTGAATGTATCCCAGGTTTGTCAGCTGCCATCTCCAGATGCGCTGCTATTCTTACCCTTCCTTCCTGAGAGACTCTTATTTCAGCAAAGAGTAAATAGCAAGGTTACAGCCAAGCTTTGGGCTGTCCAAGTTGTTTGTGAGGTTGTACTGGATCCCTGAAGGCTCTGATGACTGACGTGCCTGCCGCTGTGTGGCTGATTAGCGAGCCAGGATTTCCATGTTTCCCCTGTGTAACCCATGCTAAGCCCAGGTTCATGCCTGCCACGCCACCGATGACGTGCTGGCAAAGAATGCATCTCCTTGTCTTCTCTTCTCCTAGGTGGTAGCGAATGCTGTCGCTGCCTTGTCTGAGATCAGTGAATCACATCCCAACAGCAACCTGCTGGATTTGAACCCTCAAAACATCAACAAGCTGCTGACGGCTTTAAACGAGTGCACAGAGTGGGGCCAGATCTTCATCCTGGACTGTCTGTCCAACTACAATCCCAAAGATGATCGTGAAGCTCAGAGGTATGTTCCCACTGGTTTTTGTGTGTTCTTTGTTTGTTTGTTTTGAACCCTTTCCCTTTAAAAGGGTAGGTCTTATGGTAACTGTCATTGCTAAGAAGGGATCAGTTCAAGACCAAACCCCTAACAACAGCTGACCCATCTAGAAGCATTGTTTGGAGGATTTTCTGTTTTAAAGCAGAGCTTTCAAATCTGGCTTTGCTACCTTGAGAGGGAAGAAGCCCTTGTAGGCATGGGGGCGTCTTCACATAATGTTTTAGGTCTGAGACTAGAGTATTTTTTCCAACTAAAAGCTAGTGTGTGATGCCATAGAACAGAAAATAATGATTTTTTTTAATCACTCCAAAATCACACTTTTGCTTATACCTTTACTGCAGTGACTAAAGCTAAATACTGAGACCTTATGTTTAAGTAATGGGGTGTTAATTCCTGCACTTTAGGCCTCCTCATGATCTGAGTCCGAAATCACAAAAAGTCGGATGATGTCCCTAGGGGAACAAGGAACCAGCAAGGAAAATTTCTTGGAGCAGGGGTGTTCTCAAACTTTCTATATTTCAAGTAAATGAATGGGGGAAGGACATGAACCCACATGAAAAAATCTGGACAGGCCTGTTTTGTTTCAAAGGGCTTCTTCAGTGATGTGGGGGGGGGTTGTTTTTGGGAGACAGAACAGATAATCCCCCCCACCCTTTTTTTTTTTTTTTTTTTTTTTTTTTTTTTTTTTAGGAGATGGGGGAAGAAGGGAGGGGAGAAACCTGCTAGTGACTCTTTTTTTTTCTTTTTTTTTTCCCCTTCCTTTCTTTCTCCCTGCACTATGCCTTGTGCTCTAAGATCTTGTGCCAGAAAGCAGCTATTAACGAGTGCTAGAAACCTGCAGAGATCCCCAGGGTGCCAGGCCTGTATTATCTTAGCTTTGTCAGAACAGGACTGCTAGTTTGAACAACGGTGAACATGTCCCAGTTCCTCATATTCCATTCCTCTGACGAGCGTTGGATAAGCCTGGATGGGCAGTAACTACTCTTGCTCCTTCGTGAGGAGTTTGGCTCTCAGACCCCTGATCGTAAGAGCCTGCCGTTTTTCAGAAAGAGAGCAGGGTGAAAGCATCTAGTTTTATGTAGTGTGACAGTAAGGCTGGTGTCATTACCTCTGTGCATGGAGAAACTGAGGCACGGGGAGATGAAGCCTGTTGGGCCTGCCAGGTGACCCTGAGCAGTGCAGCTGGGGACTATCCCAGCCAGACTGATTTCCAGATTCACGTGCTCCTCGCTTAGCCATGCTGCTTCCCCTCCAGGGTGGCTGAAAGCAAATCTTTCGGAGAAAGAAACTTTAGGGAGGCACAGATGGGGAATAAGACGGTTCTGGGTTAGCAATATGCAGGAGGGGGTGGCAAAAAACTTGACAGATGCTGCAATAAAGACCATATGAACCCGAACTTCCTTTGTGCCTGGGGTGGGTTGTCTAGGATGTTACTGGTTATAGCATCTACTGAGGCAAGTGGTGAAGCTGAGACTTGGGGGGATATTTGGGTCACTCCTTCCCTATCCCTTCAAAGTAACAGCAACCTTTTCTTGCAGAAACAAATGGTTGAAATGGCAGCAACCCCCGAGCAAGGCAGGAGCGTCTGTCACCCCCAAATGATTATATGGGAGCTAAAGTGTTTTTCTGGTAGCTGTTGTGTTAAAGCTGTATTCGTAAGTGACAGATGAGATCCCAGAAGTAGGAGAGAATACTGTGAGGCAAAGGCAAAAAAAGCTAATAACTGAACATGCATTGGGACTGTAATGCTGAGCGCTGGGAGTGTTTCTGAGCTAAGTGTGACAGGAGGGAATGTTGAAGCTGTGTGAGAAGTCATTTTTGTTTTCTTCCTGCTGTGTTCAGGAAAGCAGGATTTTTGCCTGTTCTTTATAAATAAAACCAAATCAAAGAAGTGCCTGAATTGCCTGAAGAAGCTGTCTTCAGCTCCTTGTCTCAATATGAACCACATACAATTTCTTAAATACAGACAAGATCTGAAACATTTGAGACTTGAAATAAATGCAAACCCTTTCATACTCCTCTGTCTCTAGCATTTGTGAACGGGTAACCCCTCGGCTGTCTCATGCCAACTCGGCGGTGGTGCTGTCAGCAGTGAAAGTCTTGATGAAGTTCCTGGAGCTTTTACCCAAGGACTCTGACTATTACAACATGCTACTAAAGAAACTTGCCCCTCCACTGGTTACCCTGCTGTCTGGAGAGCCTGAAGTTCAGTATGTTGCCCTGAGGAACATCAACTTGATTGTGCAGAAAAGGTAAAGCCTCAGAGGGCTGTTGTTCCTGGATGTGGAAGGACATCTATTTATCTCATACCTTCAGATGTTTCCACATGCACAGAACTGCATTTAATGCAGGTTCATATCTCCCTGAGGGATGAATTAAGCAATCTTGCTTAATTGTGTTAATCCAGGTAGCCTGAATTCATTTTATTTTTACAGCTTATTAGCAGTGCCACTGTCATACAGTATTTATTTAGCTACCTCTTTCTCTTCACTGCCTTTTTTTTTTTTTTTTTAAGAGCAGTAAGAAGTGTGTTCCCACCACACCGTAAATCAGATTGGAAACAGCAGGGAGGGTATAACTATACAGTTCATGGTGACTTGTAGAAGCAGAGGTGTCCCTTATGCCACTCCCTCTTCAGCACAGAAGAACCAGGATGGTGACATACTGATATACGGAGGGTTGGGCTGTAATTTTTCTTCTCCAGTTTACTCCCATTTGCATGCTTAAATATTGTTTCCTCTTACTGCAGAGGGGCAATTACACTTTGGGCAGGGTTGCTGTGTACTGGCACAGGTGTCTTGCAAGTGGAAGAATAAAATGGGTTTGTAGATGCATTTTTGCCTTGAGATAAGGATACTGTCGTTTCCCTGAAAACACATCCGCTGTCTGCTAGTGGATGATTCAGCAGTCCAAATGGAGGAGATGGAGATGTAGGTACCATTAGAGAGACTTGAGATACGCATTTTGTATTTTTAAAAAAATCTTTTCTCCAGCTTTCTGACTTTCAAACTGTTGTTCTTGTTTGTTTGCGTGTCCTGGACATGAAATCACACTGTTCTGTTTCCCAGCGAAAGTTTTGAGTAGTTTTCTAAACCAAAGATACTTCTAGTTAAGATCATAGCCCGTTCGTTTTACTGGTTTTGAGGGAAACAATATTTTGTGCGTGTTCTGCAGGCCTGAAATCCTGAAGCAGGAAATAAAGGTGTTCTTTGTGAAGTACAATGACCCCATCTATGTCAAGCTGGAGAAACTGGACATCATGATCCGCCTAGCTTCTCAAGCAAACATTGCTCAGGTCAGCTAATCAAACTCTTAAGGGTCCTGTGTGTGAACTGGGGATGGCAAACTCTCTGCTGGCCCTCAAAAGAGGGTGTATGCAACTATCTCTAGTCGTCTCCTGCCTACCAAGCAGCAGTATCCCTGGTATCATGCTCTTTGCAGCTACAAAGTGGGGAAGTGCTGGAGTTTCTTCTGTACTTTAAACGTTAATAGTATGGTAACTCTAAATGTTGATAGCGTGTTGTGTCTGCATTGTGACCGTTAAGTAGATCTTGTTTTACAGCTTACAGTTCTGGGAGGAGAGCTGATGTCTCCTGTCACATGAGTCACTGCTAGAGCTGAGGTTAGAATGGGAGACTTATTTCAAGTGAGAGAGGTGTGCCTGTAACAGAGGCATTCAAGAAGGTCAAACATTCCTGAAGTGTAAATTTCAAGTGTGTTAAGGTGTTAAATCCTTGCACAGGCACTCTTCAGAGCTAAAATAACCTTCATTTTCCTCAACTTGCTTCCGAATCCAGAGAGAGAGTCTACGCCGTAATATGACTTAATCTAGATTCCTTTAAGGGGATAAGTGTTCCTGAGTGGCATTCTGGCCACAAGGCCTAAAACTAATGCAGAATGATTAATGCCTCTGGCTAATGCTATTACTGTCCTATCCCAATTGTCATAGAGCAACTTCATTTAATGTGATGCTTTTAAGCTATGCCCTTCAGAGTATGTGCATAACTTTATTTAACACAGCAATACATGCCTCTCTTGTTCTGAGGACATGGAAGACATTAAATAATCAGTTGCCAAGAGAATGTATTCAGAATTTTCTATTTACTCTTGGCAGCCTCCACCCCAATTTTAATGCACAGTGTTTAAATAATGCAGGTTGTTTGGGAGAAAGGCAGCAGTGTATGGAGGACTGAGTTTGGGACTGGGTTCTGCAGACTAATGAATCCTTGCCTGGTGCTGAAGAGGCATTCCTAAAACAGGCCAAGCTTCCTCAGGAATGACCCCTAAACCCAGACCCACTGAGAGCAGGCTTCTGCCCCATTTTTCCTTGCGTCACTTGTCAAGACCCTTCATTTCCACGTCTGTTATAGCCCAAGGCAGCTGATTAGTTGTATCTGAGGTGCTGAGACTCGGGTGGTATTTGAAAAGCGTAAGTTACTAAACCAGGGTGTTCTGGGTACTGTGCATCATCCAAGGAAATAATAAAACTTCAGAACACAAATGTCCTGTCTACTCCTTGTGGATTTATTTGTCTGCAGTGTGGCCCTTCAAGGCCTCTTTATCTTGTCATTGTTCTGAGCAATGGACACTGAGTGCTGATTTTTCAAACAACTGTCTCGCAATGTGCTGCTGGCTTCTCCCTTGCAGTCTATTTGTGACATCACAGCGAAATCCCTGATGTCACGTGTGACATGAGAAACTGAAACAAATGAGACGTTAAGGTAATATAATTTACATGGGGTCTTCTTTTAAAATCACTTTTTCCAAGCCAAAGGATTTATTTAAAATAAAATGGCCTTGTAGTTAGTGGTCTGTAAAATCCCAGCAGATCCTCATTTAAACCCTTGTTCTGTTCCATTATCAAAAAAAAACCAAACTGAGACAAAAGGGCAAAGTTTATTCTTAAGAGGAAAAAATTGTCAAGCTGTTATTAATCTCTGTATAGGTATTGCAAGGTGTCTTCAGATCTCCTCCTCTTTTTGGATCCTCTAAGGATCAGGGGTTCACCTCAGCACAGAGGAGGAGAGGCCAGAAATGTTGTTGCATAAAGTTTTGCTTACAGTGAACGTAGAGCAATAAGTACAATAAATTGTTCATAACGTCTATGTACATGGATATGTGACCCCTACTTTCCTGTATCTCCTAGTATAGGAAGGAGTGGTAGCATTTGTTTGGCAGGGCTGGTTTCATCTCCAGCTGTTGGCCAGGAGAAGTTGAGAATCATCTACATCTAGCCATCTTTTCGCTTCAGCCATGCTGAAACAAGTTTAATGCCTAAGCCAAACCTTTTCTCCTCCAGACAGCAGTGGGTTTTAGAGACAGAGATTGTGGAGTTTGACTGTGTTAACTTTGTGCATTGATAGCCATGGAAGAATACCTCCTGCTTATGTTCTGGTATCCAAGTAGCATGGCTAGTTAGACTGGGATATTCTGCCATATCGTTTCTGTGACCGCAGGGACTCATGTTGTGTATTTTCTCTGCAGGTCCTGGCAGAACTCAAGGAATATGCCACTGAGGTGGATGTTGACTTTGTGCGCAAGGCCGTCCGAGCAATTGGGCGCTGCGCCATCAAGGTTGAGGCAAGTACCTGAAACTTGAGAGGTTTTCTGTGATTCTCAGGCTCCAGAAACAGTGTTGGGCTCTGCCTTCTCATCCCTGCGTGGTACACAAGGTTTCCTTGTTCCTGTGTTGGACATCAAGTGCCCTAGATACATTAGGATTGGGCCAAAGCCCCAGCTGAACAGTAGGACTTGTGAGCTCCAGTTGAGTACATCGCAGGAGGGTGTTTTGCTTCTTTCAGACCTCAGCTTGCAGGCAGAGCAAGGCAGCAAGAGCATCCTTGATGGGATTTTACTGTACTGGCTTCAGTGGAGCAATGACCATTTGTCCTCGAGGACCTTGTTTACTAGCTATAGACCTTTTGAAGGGGGAGGGAAAGAAAGATTGTGCAGAGGAACTCAGTATTATGAAATGTTTTGTGCCTCCGGCTTCAGCTGAGTAGAACACATGTATGGAATTGCAGAGGTTTTTGGTGCTTTAGAACAACTTGCACAGAGACAGCCAGAGTGACTGTCTGCTTATCTAGATTTGAGGGTCTACATAGCTTATGGCTTTGTTTAGAGTGTGTTCTCTTTTAGCCGAGCTACTTATGCAAGCAAGTTCTGAAGAACCTTTGTAGCTATCCAAGACAACAGTTTGAAACGTCCTCTGCCAGTTGAACGTCCACCAAAATACTTGTAAGAGAATATTTAAATAGTATCCCTGTTAATTTCCCTGTAAATAAATCTAGTGTGTCTGACAGGAGCTCAGAAAACCTGTGAAAAGAGAAGGTGTGTATGCTGTGGTCTTGGTACCTGTCAATAAACTGATAAATGAGTGTGAAATGCCATGTAAGTGGTGTAATTTCAGTTGAGCTCATTGAGCTCTTGCTAAAGTGCGCTCCCGTGAGCGTTAACTGACAGTAGATTTAAATAAAACCTAATCATGCCTGGCTGAGTACAGTGTCAGTGCACAAGTTTGCCTGTATGCCTGCCTAAAGAAGACACCAGTTTCTGTCCTCTCGAAAGAACTGGACACTTTTTCCCATGCAGCCTGCTGGTCTGGTCCCTCCTTCGACTTATGCTGCAATGGGCTTTCTTTTAAATGGGGTCAACAGATTGGATAATCACTGCCTCTTTCATGTCTGCAGTTCCAAAAAAAAACCCCCAAACCCAAAACAATCAAAAAAAAACCCAAAACAAACAAAAAAAACCTCAGAGTGTTCCCTCTGTGTTGCGTGCAGGCAGGAGGCTGTCTGGATAGAGCCAAAGAGCAGAAAAAGCTCTCAAGCACGAAAGAAGGCTACTAGAAGTTAAAAAGCTGGTGGCAGCCCCTTTTATAGGGATGCTTATGTGTTGGGGAGGGGAGGTGTGTTGGTGATGGTTTCAGATGAAAGATGGTGTGATCTTACAGTATCAAGATGTTTTGCAAGATCTCACCCTTTCTCACCCTCATCCCTAGCACTTTTCCTCCCCACCGCTAATACCATGACAGAGTTGCATTCAGTGTGCAAAAGACTAATAATAATGTCACAGCAAATTTGCGGTGACTCTCTATTTAATAGTGTATCTTGCAGTAACTTGAGTTAACTATTTTTTTTTAAGCAGCACTTCTTTGAATACACTGCTGCTAAAGATTAGATCTGTTTACTCTTGACAAGAGCCATGTTTAAAAGAGGGCAGGTATAGAACAACTCGCTACACTGTCCTGATTGCTAGGTTAATCCCTGTCCCCAATGCATCTGTGTTTACTAGAAGCTGTTTGCACTGTGAGTTATGACTAATGAAGGAGTTTCAACATTCTCGCAGCCCTCAGTGTCCAAGTTCCCAAGGCTTAGAAATCTGCTTTTTGACATGGAGCACAGCCATCAGGAGCTTCTGATAAATGAGCATTTGCAGAGAACCTACCTTTTATCTAATTGTCTCTCTTAGAAGAGCAACCTAGTAAATAAATTTGTCTGCTGTGACTTGAGCCTTAGAGCAAGGGTGGCATTACCTGCACTGCATAACAGAGCATAGGGCAAACAGCAGAGGTGGTGCTAATTTGGGAAATGTAAGCAATGCACATGTTGAACAGCGAGGCTAATGGATTTTGCCCAGGCTTAAGTAATCATACTGGTTTGGGGGGTGTCAGAAGAGCATCATTTCACGCAGATAGGCTTGCTAAGGTACAGAGTTAGCTTAGGGTATCTACATTGAAGTAGTGTAGCCAGGCTTGACAGCGTGAGGTGAAGGCATCTGTGAGTTGTGGGTTGGTTTGCTTCACTGTCAGCACTAGATGAAGAAGACATCTGATATCTTCTCTGGAGAGAAGGCTTTGCTCATACTCCCTTTATGCCTCTGAGGAAGAGTGTATGAAGAGGATGCACTTGGTAGTGATTCCTGCAGAGCAAAGGAGAAGCAGCAGGAGCTATATGAGAGGGGGATTTGTCTCAGTTCTGTGAGATTCTGCTAGCAGCCTAGTTCTTAGAAATCTTTGAGGGTTATGACTGAGAGTGTGGGGCATGATTACTTGAGTAATCTTGCAAGCTTTCATTTGGTTACTAGAGAGCAACAAAGCAAGTTTGGCATTGGCCGGTTGTCCTTCCTCACTCCAGCTTGAGAGTTGCTCTCCTTGGGGCACTCTTTTGTATCAATTTGCAAAGCACTGCAGTCCCCAGGGATGTCCACCTACAAATAGCGACATGTTTACAAGGGATGAGATGAGCTGAGATGTGCTTTGTTACAGGGACTTGAGGACTGCTTCACTGTTCATGTGGTAGCTTGCTTTCCAAGAGACTCTCGAGCTAAAAATCAGTACTGCATGTTTCAAAGTAAATGTTGTGCGCTTCCTGGAAAATCATGTTTCAAAGAATCTAAAGAAGAGAAAACGTGAACCTTAATTTTCTTTTCCTTGAGTTTCTCAGCTCTTGAAGCTTTGTTAGTTATATTTGGCACCACTGCACTGCTTGAGCTGCAAATCGCATAGATTCTATGCTATAGATTCTATAGAGTTGAATTAGCTTAAGAAAGATTTAGCTTGAGTGCTCTTTAAGATTACCTGGCTTTTAGTGCCAGTTTGCAAAGGTGGAGCAAATGCTGGTTTAAAAGGTGTTTCCTCTTTTGCCTGATTCCCATGCTAGCCTTTCCGCTGCTTGGTGTGCCTTGTAGGCTGCATGGTAAGGTATCACTGCTAGGGTCACACGGGCAAAAAGTCACAAGAAGGTTTTAGTCTCTGCTTGTCCCAAATTCAGATCTACAAGTCTCGAGGTTTGTCCTTGAGATTTTGCCCATTCTCAAAAAAATGATTTAAATGACTTATTTAAATGCCATTTCATTCCTCCTCCTCTACCCAGCCTTCAAGTTCTCTAGAAATGAAGGGGACTGTTAGCTCACTTGAATTGAAAAATCCACCTACGTTGCTATTGTTTATGACCTGTACGGTTTGTCTTGATACCGAATGCTTTATGAATGTTCTGGTGGTGATTGCCTAGGCAGTGTTGTGAGCAGTCTGCTTCTCACATTAATCACCAGCTGTGTAATGAAGCTTCGTATGTACTCTGTTAATAGCCAAATCACTATCCTTATTCCAGGCTCTCTCATGTTGGAGTTTGCTCTGGTGATATCCTGCCTCACTGTGCTGTTTGGGAATTGACCTCTCTGAACTGTCTACCTTTAATTCCAGTTCTGGTTTGTGGAGCGTTCCAGTGCTTAGTTGTTATCTTGCACTGCCTGTAGCTGGGAATTTTGAGTTATTTAATGTGAAAGCTGCATTAGCAACAGCTAGATTTCTATTTATAGCTGTATCTTCACACATTGGTAGTGACCTCACCCCAAATATGCTGGATCTCCTGCTGTTCTGAGCTGCTTTTTGCTGCTGTTCTTGCAACATGAGTGGTAGCATGCCTTCCTTCCACCTTCTTACTTCCCCAATCTCCTTCCAGCACTCCCTGTCAAAATGCTCCCAGCCTTAGTTGCCGTGGCTTGGGCAAATCCAAGAGAGCTCATTCAGTGGCCTGTTTTGACTGCTAGCCAGCAAGAAGGTGGTAGAAGTAGTAATGCGGGCAATGTTCTTAATATATCTTGTGTGATGATCCAACCAGCTACTAACACAGTCACTTCAGTCACTTCCCTTATTGCAGGAGCTGCAGTCAGTGGGCATCTGCATTGTATAGCATCATAAATTCCCTAGTTAGTACACAAACGCTGGTCACCCTGCAGGATGTTCTGGACACACATACCAATTTGGTAGCTGTTGTGCTTTTATCTCCCCCCCTCGCCCCAGTGCTTCCTTGATACGCGTCCCTGGTGCCTCAGCGCGCGGGCTGAGAAGGAGTTTTTCTTCAATTTGTTTTAATTGCGTTGTTCTGCTCTTCTCTCTAGCAATCTGCAGAGCGCTGTGTGAGCACGCTGCTAGATCTCATCCAGACCAAGGTCAACTATGTGGTCCAGGAGGCCATTGTGGTCATCAGGGACATATTCCGCAAGTACCCCAACAAGTATGTGAAAGTGCTACAAGACTTTTGGAAGCTCTAGCGTCAAAGTAGAGCAATATGAAACTCGCTCAGTAGAGTTTTCCGGGGCACTGAAGTGAAGGTGGCCATCTTTCTGAAAAGCAGTGTCCCTTCTGACCCTAGCACTGTAGGAGTCAAATATCAACTCCGGACAAGATGTATGCATGACACAGACCTAGTTTGAATTGAAAATCTCCCCCTCTGCTCCGATGCTGAGTATAAGCTTTCATCAAAACCTAGTAAAGTTCCTATATGAGATATTAGAAAGGAGATTGGCCAAGTTTACAGCATCACCCTTCTCGTTTTGCTTGTCTCCTCTAGAAGGCTTATACGCAATCTCCTGAAAGGAAACTCATGGCTTTCACAATTTGAGATCCCAGCTAGACTGTGCTGAACAAAATGCTGCTGGCTTGCTCTGTATCATGTGTTCCATCTGGCTTTGACAGAAGCTTCAGCTTCTTTTAAGCTCTTTGTGCGACAAGGATTTGTCTCTTCAGCTACAGAATAACACACCAGTGTCTCTCAGCAGAGGCTTCATGAACATCTAAAAAGTAGTATTAGACATCTGCAGGTGCCTCTGGCAATTTGTGCTGTCCATTGCAAGACAGATTGACTGCTTACAATAGGGATACCCGTGCATGGGAATGAGGAGAAACTAAATTAACGTGGGGTGTCTGTTTTATAGCAAAGCCTTGGGGAAATGTAACATCCAGTTTAGAGCTACCTTCCAGTCTGGAAGAGATGCTAGTAAAGCTGCAAGTTTCACTCATGGGGAGCTGGATTGAACTGTTGGGATCAAATGTTCCTTTTACCAAAAAGAAAAGGAGGCAACTTTGCATCTTGAATTCCTCATCTGGGTGCTTTTGCTGATTAAAGACATGGTGAAATCTTAGCACTCAGCATGGAAAAGGAAAGTGCATAAGAATTATCTTGTGTAGTTGAGTGAAATACTGCTTGCTGCATGTTGCATAGAAATACAAGACGTTATAATTCAGTGCAGGATTCTCTGCAGAATGATGTGGGCTGGGATGGAGTAACACAAGTTGAATTCACCCAAGTAATCTCTCTGTGCTCTGACGAATCAGGTATGAAAGCATCATTGCCACTTTATGCGAGAACCTAGATTCTCTGGATGAACCCGATGCCAGAGCTGCCATGATCTGGATAGTGGGTGAATATGCAGAAAGAATTGACAACGCAGATGAGCTGTTAGAGAGCTTTTTGGAGGGCTTCCATGATGAAAGTACCCAGGTAAAATTGTGTTTTACATTTTATCTGTATATGTGGCATGCAGTGTATGTACAGAACTGACTGTAAATATTACTGCAATTGTCAGAAAATACCTCCCAATGAAAATTTCAATTTTTGGCTAAAATAAAACTTATGGGAGTCTATAGATGTTATCTGTGGTCTGCCTGTGTCCCCCAAACTTCTCTTCCTGGGAGGATAACACAGCAGGAGGGACCTCATGTTTTGAGTCGTTTTGGGGGGAAAATAACCCTATTGGGGACTAGAACATACAGAAGAGTAGTGCTGAGATGCATAAAATTATTACATAAATCTCAGCATGTTGATTAGAGACTTGTTTGCGAAATTATTTGCACCAGGCAAGAGGGAGTTGTGCTGGATTTTACTGGCAGCAAAAAGTGTGATGCTGTTATAAAGCATGGACTTGATTTTCCTATCAGTAAAGGATGATTAGACTTGGGGTGCATCACTAAAGCATGGATAACTCTTGTAATCTCTTTGCTGTGTTCCTTAGGTGCAGCTCACACTGCTGACTGCTATAGTGAAGCTGTTCTTAAAAAAGCCTTCTGAGACAAAAAAAAACTGTTTCAGGAGGTCCTGAGCCTGGCCACACAGGTAAGCCAAGACATCCATTGAACCAGAGCACTCTAGACGCCGTGCTAGGCATCTGCAAACTAGTGTGTCCCATCTGACAGGCCGAATCAACTGTGCCAGTAGATGGGGTTCAGGCTTGCTCTTCCTCCCTGAGAGGACGGTTTTGACTCTATGTAAGAGCTGCTCTGTGCCTGTTACCACGCCACCTGGCATCTGCGCTCTCCTCCTTTGCTCTTGCCTTACCCTAATTCCCCCCTCGCCTCCACTCAAATGAAATCTTAGGAACAAGGTAAGAGTTCTGTAGAAACAAAAATGCTTTCTCCTTTAAGGTGGCTTGCAGTTAAAACAACTGGGTCTGCGACAGAAGGGAAGGGCCTGGCAAAGACTTTGTTCTGTGAGTAGCAGAGCTTAAGCAATGCTCTGAAAACAAAAGACCTAAGATTTGGGGTTTTTTTCCCCCCTTCTACTTGGATGTTGCCAAACAATGTGGCAGCTCTGTTGGAGGCTTTAACAGTGGGTTAGGGTCCAAGATTCGTTATGCATGAGATGCTGAGTTAGAGATATTGTAAGCTTAGATCACTGCAGGTATGGACTGGGCTTGATCTGGCAGACAAGAATTCTATATTTCCGGAGGATGGAAGCAAGGGTGTTTCTTTTGGCAAGAGTGAGTAAGACCTAAGCCTATCCTCCTGCACTCCCTGGCTCTCGTGACTGGGACAACTGTGTAATGGCATAGCCCAAAAAGAGCAGCTCTTCTCCAGACCTGCTGTATTAAGTTATGAAAATACTCTCCCAACTGCTTTAGACAGGCTGCAGTTGACTTCAGATTTTCTGCTTGAAAAGAGTCTTCAGCTGACCTTTTTGGTCCTTTTTGCTGCAAAAAGTCATGGATGTGGACTTACTAATACTTACAGTTTCTCACAGTTGGGGGTATCGCATGGTGCATGGACAAGAAATCTGTAGCCTGCTGTTCTTGCTTCAAGACCTATATAGCTGTAAAGACAAATATGCTATTACATAGGCTCTCAGCTCTTCTTTAGAGAGGGATGGGCCAAGGGCATGGTGTATCATTTGTCTAAGCCAGCAGAAGAAAGGTACTAAGTGTTAAAACCCACTCTGCTGAGTCACAATAGGGTTAATGGCACCCTAGGAGTATAATAGGCATCTGTTTTTTCTCTTTGTCACAAATGTTGATTCAGTCTGGCTTATTGTATTTTGTACGAGAATTGATGTAGGACAAGGAGCTGTAAAACACTGAAAAGCCTTACGCTCGAAGGTCTAATTTCGAGGTAGAGATACTGTTTTTCACTTGAGTGGGAGAGTAATTACACACGTTTCTTTCCCCTGCTTAGGTACTGTTACATTTTGCATGTCTCTTAGGGTAAGTCTGCACAACAGAATGCAGGTGTGATGGCAGCAGGAGCCAAGCCTGATCCAGCCAGCACTGATAAAAATAGCAATGAAGCAGCTGGGGATGGGAGGGACAGAGATGTGTAGTAGTGATCAGGATCCCTAGCAGGTTTGTAACCTGGGGAATGGCACAGAGCCTCTCTACGTCTTCATTGCTGTTGTCTGTCTGGCATGGGTAATTAAGCTAGCATGGGTTCATTGGCCTGCACTACAAGTGTACATGCAGACCCTAGAGAGTGGAGGATTAGGAAGAATGTGGGAAAGTAAAAATGTGAGACTCTTGTATTCCGGTAGATGGACCACAGTTTCAAATCCATGTGTCTGGCTGTGGGAAGACACAGTCGGTCTTGAATCCGTATGTGACTAAAAGTAGATAGGAGCGCATGGTCTTTTGCCTCTGCCCTTGCAGAGGCCCTCTCTGATCTTGAACTGCCTGCTGCGGACAGGATGAGGAGGTTCTTGTAGGAATTGTTAAGGGCAAAGGGTCTAAAGAGCCCGCGACTCAACCATCAAACTGAAAAACAGCACTGCGGAGAAATCAGTTGACCCAGACGTTGTATCTAGGCCTCTGCAAGCAAAATGAGTTAGCATTCTCAGTCTCATTAGAAATAGATGTTTTACTGTGTTGTCTGAGAATATCTTGAGACAGAGGGCAGAGCAGCAGGTTACAGTAGATCGGCAGCAGTGTGAATGAGTTCACCAAACAAGAGAAGAAATGCTAATGATGAAGGCTAATGAGGTGTAGGATATGTTGCCAAAATTTTGCAGAAAAAGCTCAGAAGCATTTAACCTGTTATTCTGCTGACACGGGGATTAAAAATCCCACCCCTTTCTTCCATGGACAGCTTTAAAATGTTGCACCACAACATAAAACCACACCAGCTCCCTATCCCTAGAACACTAGCTGCAGGCTATCACCACTTTGCTGCTCTGGGCAGAGCTGTTTGAAAAGAAGAGAGAAATAATTAGCGCTTCATGCAGAGGCAGAATCATCTGCAGTAAAACAAAGATGTTATTGACAGCTGGAGAACTGATGAGGGGTCCTAACAATGTACTGTTAGCGTCTTTCCATACTTCATTAGATAATTAAAAGGCAGGATAAATAAGATCTCTTTTGGCATGAAGAATACAGCTTATTAAGATCCATCCTAGCTCTGCAGGATCTTTTTGTCCTATGAGTGCCCTTGGGTAAGTCTCATGTTTCCAGGAATCTTGATTCATTCTTTCATAATTTGCAGTATTGCATATCTACTCTTAGTGTGTGGCTGAGTCATTTTGATTCAGCGTTCTTTTCTCCTGTCTGCGCCCCTTCCAAGTTCTTCTGATTCTTATTGTTATATTAAGTGACAGGAGAGTTTGGAAATAAGTTTTGTGGGATGGGACAGTAGTGGGGTGTGTCAGTCCTGGGCTTTTCCTCTTTGACCCATTTGAGTTAACTATTTAGGGCAGGAAGCCAGGAGTTAATCCCTCGTTCTTATTTTTAATTTTGACACGTTCGTCACAACTAGCGGTTTGTAACACCATTCTGGAATTGGTAACTGCATGGCTACTGGATGTTCTTTAAATCCACCAGAATCACTGCTAGGAAATTTAGGGTGACTATAGAGGTTAGTCCCATTTAAACCCACAACTGCTGCATTGCTTTGTCTCAGGATTCTGACAACCCAGACCTGCGGGATCGTGGCTACATCTACTGGCGCCTTCTTTCCACGGATCCGGTCACTGCCAAAGAAGTGGTCTTATCAGAAAAGCCTCTTATTTCTGAAGAGACCGATCTGATTGAGCCGACTCTGTTAGATGAGTTGATCTGCCATATTGGGTCTCTAGCTTCTGTGTACCACAAACCACCCAATGCTTTTGTGGAGGGAAGCCACGGGATCCACCGCAAACATTTGCCAATTCACCATGGAAGGTAAGCAGAGGCAACCATTTTGATAACAAGGAAGATCAGTTGTTTCTTCCTAGCAAACAATGCAAAAGATGCAAGGACCTTTTCAACACTTTTTCTTTTTTTCTGATTGTATAGAGGCTTGCAGATCATTTAAGGAGTTATTTCATTGTGGGATTTGATCCTGGGTATGTAGTTTCTGAGTTTCTGCATCAGAAGACAGAGGAAGCATCATAAAGTTCTCATGTGGAAAGAAGCCTTAAAGTCCCTTGAGAAAGCACGGATTGTAAGGCCTCTGACATTACAGTTGAAATAGCAAAGCAGAAGCTTTGGATAACTGGTGCAAGGCTAATCCAGCAGGAGGAGGACAGTGGTAAAATTGAATATCTTGCACAATTCAAGAAGCGTATGCCTCCATAAGAGCTTTTGCTTGAGCAAGAACGTAGTTTAGTTGCGTAGAATAACACCTGCTTTCTGTAGCTGGCAAACACCAAGACCATTTGCAGTGGGATTGTGAGGTGGGGAAGGACTAGCAAAACTTTCTTGTTGCTTGGCACCTATACGGGTAAAGCAAGGGAAGTGTATGATCTGCTAGGTCCTGTCACTGAAATCTTTTGGGGCTTGAAATAAGATGCTTACACGAATATGGTCCCATCTAACCTGTGAAAATAATGGCTTGGTTTCTTATCTGGAGCTTTAACACTGGAGCTTTAACACTTTCCCATGATCACAGTGCTGGGAGTGGGTTAGATCTGCAAGAGCAGGCATTACAGTAGCCTTGAATTCTTGCTGTGTTGCTACTCAGCCTGTTCTCATGGTTTGTCATTCAGGTAAGCAGTACAATTTGCCAACTGTATTAATTACAAGCATGAGTGTGCTTTACAGCAGGAGGAACAGTATCCAGGCTTACCTTTTAATATATTCCCAAAGTGACATTTGCAGTGCTATTTTTTGCTCTTGCACTGATAAATCAATGTGTGATGTTGCTCCTTTTCTATCTTCTGACACCACTCCTCTGCTATTCTTAGCAACTAAAGCTATTTCTATAGTATGACTGGCTTTGGGAAGCTGAATTGTTTTCTCGCTGTGTATGAAATCCAGTCTGGCTGCATTGACCCAGGACCTGCAATCACAAGTCTGCTAGTCAGACAAGAAAAGCAGTGACTGCTTTGCTCAGCTGCCTCTCCTACTGAAAGACTTGCCTCCATAGCAAAACGAGCTAGGAAGAGAGATGTAGCTTTGGTCTCCAGTCTGACCAGGCTTTCTGTACATTGCTATGTCAGGTCATTACAGAAGCTAAGATTTCAGGCGAGTAGCTTACTCAATTTAAGGAATTCAACAGTTGCAGGGAATGTTACCTTTTTATTAGTTTCTTAGGTATACTGCTTATGTGAAGCTAGTAGCTACTGCCTGGAGAGTCAACTCATCTCCACTGTTTTTTTGACTGTAGCAATTTTTTACATTGCTCTGGTATTTCTTGCTCCATAATTCCCCATTACCTTAGCCTAAACAATCAGAGCTTTATCAGCAGTGGTAAGAATGGCTGAGGGAAAGTCTAAAAGATGCTTACCAGAACACAGTGAATGCTGATGCTGTGCTCCAACTGTCTTGGTAAATTAAAAAATGAATGGTGTTATTTAGTGACACGCCAGCTTTCTCCAATGTAAGGTCATCTTATAAAGAGGCCTTGTTATTGTGGCTTTCTGCTTTACTGCTAGCAAAAGGACAGATTAATCAAGCTGATGCCAGGGCCTCCCTTGCACCATGTCACAGCGTGCAAAATTGCCGCTTTAAGCAATGTATTTACAGTGAGAAGCTCCTCAGTGGCAGGGTTGTGGAGAGCCTGAGTTCATGCATGCAGTATGTTCTTGCTGAATATTAAAACTAGTTTGTCTAGTCCTGAAATACACATGAAAATCTGCCAGCTTGAAGCAGATTAGAAAGTGGTGATCTAGTGGAAGAAAACCTCCTTGCCTAACTGCTTGGAGTCGTCTTCATTACATCTGCCCTGTGGTGATGACCATTCTGGTAGCTGACCCACCCACTAGAGACTGACTTTTTTTCTTTTTTTCCCTTCAAATTGCACAGTAAGATAGAGGTGGAAGCGTGGAGTCAAGTGCGGAGATGTCCCCAGTGAATGCGCCTGAAGATGGTCAAGATAGCCTTGCATTGAGTAGATGGGCAGCAATAGCTAGTCAAGTGGTGCTTTTCTGGATATAAACCTATAAGGAATTAGTTATGGTTGGAATATACTGCACCACGTTGTATTAGGAAGTGCATTGCCATACGAAGTAGCGTAGGATGGTTTGTTTCAGCTCTTGGCTGACGGGCAGACCTATTGAACAGCTCACAGGCGGTGAGAGGCTCCAGCCTCTTTCATGACTTTCAGTGCCGCAGAGAGTTGCAGGTGAATCCTGAAGGTGGGGAAGGAACCTACTGATCGTTTGGCAGCGTTTCCTCACGTGGTGGCCCACACCACCTCCACTCAGCTGTAATGCAGCTGGGAGATTTGGACAGATGCTTACAGAGTTCCTGGGAGCAGCAGACCTGGGAGGGGGGAAATCTGGTTAGAGGAGGGCAGGAGCACCCGTTCCCACCCAGGCGACAGCAGGAACTTTCCGATTCTGGTTCAGGCTGTTCATCCCTTGTGACATGCAACTTTTGGGAACCACCGGAGGTCAAACACATAGGACGACCAAATCGCCAACTTGTGTGGAGGTACAGGAGTAAAAGGCTCTGAGAAAGCCAACTGCTGGGTTACTGCCCAGTACTAAAAAGGGGAAAACTTATATCAAGTGGTTTTTTTTGCCCTTTATAACCCTCATTCTTTATTCCTTTTTTGTCTTTCAAAGAAAATACCTAGTAGAATATACAGATCTCTTTAAAAAGACCCATTCTGTACAGGAAATGGAAGGCTTGGCGCTTTGTTATTTTGTTTGTTTTGTTTTGTTTGTTTGTTTTTAAATAATACAAACTACTTTAGTTTTGTCCTTTCCTAATTTCTTGTTGGACTGTGGGGCGACCGCAGTTAAAGGAGACCTTGAAGCATTGCTTTATCTCCATCAGAAGAGGGATGAGTAAGTGTTGAAGAGGTGTAGTGTTAAAAGGATTATATACTGGGAAAGAACTGTGTGTGTGCACTACAGCCTTGTAACGTGCCTCTGCTCATACATGCTGTTCTTTAAACCCATTCTCAGGGTGGGGGTGGAGCAGGGTAACCCCCTGCTCTTCAAAAATCCTTCAGTTAGCTGTTCAACATAGTCCGAACTGTCTCCCTGCTGAAGGCAGAAGCAGAAAGGACAACTAATATTAGTACTATTAGAGGTCTAAATCTTTTAATGCAGAGAAGCTTTCAACCCTTTCTGTTGCTGCCTGGTAACTAATTCATTCTTCAGTCCTTATGCTACATCTTTTTCTCTTGGCAGTGAAGTTAGGAGCAGCTTATACTGTGTTGCTACAGCTTTTCCCTCAGTAACTGAATGAGGATAAGGAAGAGGATCGTGGCTACTCAGACAGGAGCTGGAATCCGTACAAAAGAGTCCCAGTGTTAAGCACCTTGTCAGGACACTAATTCCAATGGCATCTGTATGCAACTGCCTGTTAGCTGCATCTGCAGTAATATGAGCTGGAAATAACTTTCTCAGTTACTGTAAGCAACAGGACACAAAATAGATTTGAAGTTATCTAAAATATTAGCATATTTAAATCTATAGATTTAAAGAATAAATGTTGTGATAAGTTCTCTAGTATCTACAGCGAGTCTTACATTTCTTTTCACCTCCTTGTTGTGAAATTCAGTGGCAAATGAATATAAAAGAGCCAGACTGCTTATGATGAGAAAGTCTGGAAGCTATATAATGAGTTTTTCAGGACTAGTAGTTAGCATGCCTGCTAATACATAGACAAAATTATTACTGGTAGAAAGGAGGTGCCAGTTTAAGATTGAGTGTTTTAATTAGAAAAGAGTTATGGAACTTGATGTTGGCTGATGGAACATGGCTAATCCAGATCTGTGGTGGGGGGAGGGTTGAGCTTGTATTGCTAGATCAAGGGTTCAGGAGTTTTATTAGTGGTATGCTTCTGAGGAGGAAATCTGGGTTTGGTGTGTGTATGGCTTTTTTTTTTTTTTGGTGATGGTGGTTTGTTTGTTTGCTTCATATTTACATGCAGTTTTCTAGACCCAATAGGCTCAAAATCATCTCTGTAGGTTTCTCCCAAGTTGGGAAAGACTTATTTTCAGTGCTGTTGTCTATGTAGTATTCATAGCTCATGGTTTAGGAAGGGTTTGTGATTCTCCAGGTGGGCAGGGTTTCACAACTGAAAATACCCTTTTCTGAATTATAAGTGATGCCTGATTCATGGAAGGTCCCTGTGCTCAAAGCATATGTTGAAGAACCCTTTTCATAATACACTGCCTCCTATGTGGTAATGGTTAGATCACCTGCCAGGGCAAACCTGTAACAGACTTCTGCCAACTCTTGTTGTATTTCTCCATGCTGGAAGTCTGAAGCAGGAGACCAAAGGTGACTAATGGTTCACTTCTGATTCCTGTTTTTCCCGCCCTGCAGCACTGACGCAGGAGATAGCCCCGTGGGCACAACTGCCGCTACAAACCTGGAGCAGCCACAGGTCATTCCATCACAGGGCGACCTTCTGGGTGACCTTCTGAACCTGGATCTGGGACCCCCGGTGAATGTTCCCCAAGTGTCCTCCATGCAGATGGGTGCTGTGGACCTCCTGGGAGGAGGACTGGACAGCTTGGTAAGCCATGTGCTCTTTAGCTTCAGCCGATGTGAAATAATCGGAGCTGTGCTCATCTCTGCAAAGCCTTGATCGCTTGTTCTTGTAATGCTCAAATCCCTGATCTCCCCGTGCCGAGTCCTAAAACTCGAAGAAGATTGAACCAGTGCTATTTTGCCAACTTTCAACAGGTTTTTCCTGCAATAAAACGAATATTGATGCATGCTACAGAATCCCTGCAGCCCGTGGGTACACCTTTCATGCTGCTTCTGTCTGGAGAGGAGATCCAGAAAGTTGTTACAAAGATTTCAAGTGTCCTAGTGTTTTGTAATTATTCTGACTCCTTTTCAAAAGGGTATTCGTTCCATCCAGTTCCTAACCCTATTGAATTTCATTGCAAAAACTCTCAGGGCTGCAAGCCATAGCCCTGCTGCGTCATCCCACTTGTGTATTCTCCAGAGTATGTCATGGCTGAGTGTCGGAGACATCTTATTTGCAGTTAGGCCAAGAGAGGGAAGTGCTCTGCCGCTCTACGCATAGTCCTCCCCTCGCCGCAGCAGCTCACGAGGTGGTGTTCTACTACTAAAAGGGTCAGGCTCCAGAGTGTGAATAAATACACATTGGTTCTGCTCTGTGATGGGAGCTGGACATAAGCTGTAATGAGAGAATCGCTTACCAAGGGGATGACAGCTACAGTGCAGAGAAGAGCTCAGTGCTGTTTTCACATTGGTAGCTGGGCAAAGAGAAGTGGTGAATGTAATCCTTAGCCTGAGACCCGTTCCCGCATGGTGAAGCCCAGCGCGTGGATCCCTGAGCTAGCAGCCTGCTGACTTGCCAGCAGGGGTAAGAAGCAGTCTAGCTGCGTTTGCACCATGTAATCTGAATAAGACCACCCTCGTGAACACAGCTAGGTAGTTTTCAGATACACGATGGATTTGTCTTACTTTGGTTTGAGGTTTGGCTTGTGGTGTGCTGGCTCAGGGTATCTGCATGCTTAGTTTAGGTGCATCTTCAGTTTTGAATCAAGCTCTGAGTAATCGAAGCAGGAGGCAGCTGGATAAACCCTGATGCAACAAATCCTTATTTGCCAAAGAATTTTTTTTAAGCTGCCATAATCTTATTAAAGCAGACATTAAGCGCACTTCCAGCTCCAGTGTTTCGTGAGCTAATGAACTGGAAGCAATCTACCCCTTAACGGCATTGGTGTTCATTGAGGTCAGATGTGCTTTAGTGTCTGTGCCATCTAAACAGCACTTCTGGAGCCTGCTGTTTACACTAGGGGAAGATGGGATTAAGGAAGTCGTCTCAGCTGGAATTGCTGGGAATGCAGGCAGTGAGCACAGAGCAGTGACCTTCGCAGCCTTTGTCCTGCATTGCAAGAGCTGCCACTGACAAATTGTGGGTTCTTCTGTGTTCAGGCAATGCAGAAAGCAGTGCTATCTGTGGCAGCTCAGAGTGGCTAGGAGTTAAATTTCTGTCTATGCTGTCCTCTCAGGCCATCTGTTGTAACCCTTTGTATGTCATTAGCAGTTGGAGGTAAATAAATGGGCAAAGCAGAAGGACTAAAACTTGGTTTTGGGAAAAAAGATTAAGGGCTGGCATCAATGGTCTTAATTTAATGACCCCCTTTGGCAGTAGAGCTGTTAGTTTACATGATACTAGGCTTTTACTTTATGTTTTTTCTCAAGCCTTAAGTAAATTCATGGGGCTGTGTGATGTTATCTAACAAAGTGATTGTGTCTGGGCAGGGGGGTAGCTGTGCCCCAGGCTGTGTGGGCCAGCACTGTCTCAGCTGAGTTATTAGATGGGGGGGAGCACTAACGGAAACTGAAAACCGGAGGCTATTTTCCCCAGAATGCTTTCTATTAGAATGCTGTTGCATCAAATGCCCTTTCTTCCCCTTATCTCTCACATGCATAAATGAATCTTGTCCCAGTAAATCTATGTATTTCTCTGTTTTTTTGTCTCTTAATCGGCCTGGTTTGTGCGTGAGAGAATGCGATCCGTGCTGTTGTTTATCGTTGTGGGCATGTGTTTAAAAAGTACCAAACTGGGTTATCCCGACCTGGTATTAACTTAATTGCTAGACAAGCCATGCAGCGCAGAGAGACATTGCCAAGTCGATTGGCGTTTGGATTAATCCTGGGCTAATATTAAGCAATGTTTGTGCAGTGCCAAAAGAAGACATGGGTTCAAAATGCAGGTACGCATAGGCCTGCTCTGTATACGTGGTAAGGGGGTGAGATGTATTAAGAGCATGGCCCTGAGGCTCCCAGAGTGCCTCCTTAAAGAAGAGCTGAGCTCTTCATCCTTTACCAGCAGTCAAAAATGGCCAGGAGCCAGGGGTGACAGTCAACTTGGGCTGCTCATGCAGTCAATTACTGGGCTTGGAATCCTAAATAAATCATCTTCCTCTATCCTTATCAGTACTCTGGCTATCAGTACATCAGTATGCATTCTGGCTATTGGTGTATCAATCTCCTTCTCTTTCTCCTCCAGATAGCTCATCCACACGTTTCTCTGTATATTATATTGCTGCCTCTCTCTCTGTAAGCTATTGAAGTTTCCCTCTCTATTACTCTAAAGTTTTTCTAATTCATTTTCTTCTCTTATTTTGCTGGGAAGATTGAATGAGGCACCCATACTGTTGCATGAAGCTTGGGGCGATATGAGCAGTCTTTCTCTTCTCCCCAAAGCAGAAGGAATTTATTTTGCTTTGGCCCTTACGCTGAGAGAAAGTAACTGTGTTTGGTTGTGGATGCTGATGCAGCCTCTTGCGTATGCTGCTTTAGTTGCTTCCTTTCCCCATCCCTCCTGTCGTCTTAGGAGTCTAAGCAGGAATACTGAACCCAGGCTTTGTGGGGGTCTAATCTAAGGAAGAATTGAGTTTACTTGTTCCCAAGAGGTTCTGTCTGGTGTAATTTTTAAGACTCCTGATGATGGAGTTTCTACTGCCTCTACAGTCAAGCTCTATCTACTTTCTGCTTATCACTAGCAGCCCTTCTGGGTCTCGGGTGACCTGGGGGAAGGCAGGGGAACACAAGCTGTTTGAATGCAGTTTGTTCTGTGCCTTGTTCCTCTGGCGTCCTCTTACAGCTTGAGCAGAGACAAAGTCCAGTGACTTGTCAGAGTAGAACAATCCTAAATCCTGCTTCCATTTTGCAAGTAATTGTTTGATATAAAAAATAAGCCTCTCTGTGTTACAGTGAAAGAGAATAGTTTGGGATGTGTTTGGAGCTGATGCGTGAAGCCAGTGGCTGTGATAGTGAGATTGCGTCAGTAGTGTGAGCATCTCAAAGGCAGCTGAAGGTCTGGAATAGGTTGCTGGCAGATTATCAGCTGCTTTGTCGCATTCACTCATTGTCATGTGTTGATCCCCTTGGATACTTGAGGTGGCTTTTGTACATTTGATAATTCCTCCTTTTCTTCGGAGAGCGTGTTTGTCTTCGGAGGGATACTATTGCAATGGAAGTCCCAATGACACTAACCCAGGAAGATCAACCGAAGCGTTAATTTCTAAAACAAATGTCATTCTGCATTTCCATTTCTTAAACTGTGGGGTTTTTCTTCCAGGCATTTGCATGGTGAGTGCACTGTGTAAAACTGGATAAATAGCAAATTAATACTGTTCACTTGAATTCCTTCCTTAGCATTGCTATGTATCTATATCCCCATAACCAGTGAGACTCCAGCTGCTTGATAGGTTAATTTTCTTCAGTGAATATCTTGTATTTTGTTTCAACAGTGAGTCCTGTAGTCAGTATTAAATGTAACAGGTGCATATTGTGCATGCACAGATGCTGAGCATGTGTTAACAATTAAAACAAAACAAAAAAAAACCCAGACCTTTAGTACAAGAACAGGATATGCTTTGCTTATAATCAAAGCAGGCTTGCTATGCAGCTTATGGAAAGCTGTTCTCTAGCTAACAGAGCCAGGACTGAGTCTGCTCCAGGTTATGCTCCTGGCTGTAACCCTGGGCAGTTCTTGTTCTTCTCTGCTTTGTTCTTTTCTGTAAAACGGTGACCAAACCCACTGTTACAAAGCTGTTTGAATCTCCACTTCCAAAGTGTTAAACTGTGGTAGCAGTTACTAATGTGGGAGAAGCAGAATTTGCCTAGAGAGCAGTTTCCAGGATGCAGAGTTCTGTGTGCTGAGAGCCAGGGTTTGGTGCCCTGTCCCCTTCAAGCTGGCTCCGAGTGCCTAAACTCCAGGCAGACTATATGCAGCCTTCCAGCTTCAGGTTTATTGATGCAGGTCTCTGTAGGACAGCTTTTGCCCATCTGTGCTGTAATGAGCCGGGGTCATTTTTGTCTTTAAAACCTGTGTGTGTGTGTGTTCAGTTGCTGTGAAGATCCAGCAGGCGTGGGAGCCGAATGTTGCCCAGCGTATCCAGCAGCTCGCCGTGAGCCCGTGCGTTTCCTGGGGACTGGACGCTGGCAGCGAGCCAAAGAGGCTAGCTTCCAACCCTGAAGCAGAGCAGTAGATTTGTAGCAGTGGACAGGCTTGGATTGTCTGTTACGTAAGGATTTTATTTAATTCTCTAGCCACTCATCTACAAGAAAATTATTGATTCAAGGCTGGCAGCTGGTCAGGCTGATTTATGTCCTGAATTGTAAAGCAGCTTAATAAACGCTAGATGTACAGACTTCTCTGTAATACCCGGGCTCTCTTTGTAGTTTGTGGCTGTTCCAGGTGGAGCTGGATGTAATCAGGCTGGATAGTGGGGGGGTTGACCCCAGAGGTTGCTTCAGCATCACTCAGGGCTGTGTCCCACTGCTCCACGCGCTCTGAAGCGGGGAGGTAGGACTGGGAGCTGAGCGCTGGCTGGTCCTCTGCTGCCCAGGGCCCCAGGCAGCAGCAGCCTTGCTAACCTGGGAAGAAACGCCTGCTCCGCTGTCCCGAATGCCTGCCTTGGAGCTGATTGGAAATGCTGACGTGCAGGGGCTGCTGGCATTACCTGGCTCCCTCTATTTTTAAGGTGGGGGGGGGGGGTGTCAATGTCTGACCTCAGTGTATAA